AAACACTTGTTGAATTCAGTCCAGAATGACAGAGGAAAGTGATGCTCAATAAACTTCATAGCATCATTTAAGACTAATGATATATATATATAACACTAGGTATGCACAAAATATCGCCAATATTGATCTAATAACAAAATCAGGCCATAACTGTATTAGTTACTAATAACTTAAACCAATTAATTAGCAACTAACAGCTCTTAACAGATAAAGCTACTATATTCATGCACTGGCCACTTTATTAGGTACACCTTACTAGTACTAAGTTAAACCCCTTTTGCCTTCAGATCTGCCTTAATCCTTCGTGACAGATTCAACAAGGTACTGGAAATATTCTTTAGAGATTTTGCTCCATATTGACATGATAGCATCACGTAGTTGCTGCAGATTTGTCGGCTGCACATCCATGATGCCAATCTCCTATTCCACCACATCCCAAAGGTGCTCTATTGGATTGAGATCTGGTGACTGTGACGGCCATTTGACTAAAGTGAACTCATTGTCATGTTCAAGAAACCATTCTGAGATGATTTGCACTTTATGACATGGTGCATCATCCTGCTGGAAGTAGCCATCAGAAGATGAGTACACTGTGGTCATAAAGGGATGGACATGGTCAGCAGCAATACTCAGGTAGGCTGTGAAGTTGACACAATGCTCAATTAGTACTAATGGACCCAAAGTATCCAAGAAAATATGCGCCACACCATTACACCACCACCACCAACATGAACCACTGATACAAGGCAGGATGGATCCATGCTTCCATTTGTTGATGCCAAATTTTGACCTGACCATCTGAATGTGGCAGCAGAAATGGAGACTCATCAGAGCAGGCAGCGTTTCTCCAATCTTCTATTGTCCAGTTTTGGTGAGTCTGTGTGAATTGTAGCCTCAGTTTCCTGTTCTTAGCTGACAGGAGCGGCACCCGGTGTGGTCTTCTGATGCTGTAGCCCATCTGCCTCAAGGTTGGATGTGTTGTGTGTTCAGAGATGCTCTTCTGCAGACCTCGGTTGTAACGAGTGCTTATTTGAGTTACTGTTGCCTTTCTATTAGCTGGCACCAGTCTGGCCATTCTCCTCTGACCTCTGGCATCAACAATGCATTTTGTGCCTGCAGAACTGCCGCTCACTGAATATTTCCTTTTTATCTCAACATTTTCTGTAAACCCTAGAGATGGTTGTGCATGAAAATCCCAGTAGATCTGCAGTTTCTGAAATACTTAGAACCGCCCGTCTGGCACTTACAACCATGGCACGTTCAAAGTCACTTAAATCACCTTTCTTCCCCATTCTGATGCTCGGTTTGAACTGCAGCAGATCGTCTTGACCATGTCTACATGCCTAAATGCATTGAGTTGCTGCCATGTGATTGCCTAATTAGAAATTTGCATTGACAAGCAGTTGACAGGTGTACCTAATAAAGGTGCCAGTAAGTTCATACTGTAAGCATATTTAACCTATATACTTACAGTATATTATAACTTATATTACTATAGTTATTGTTAACATTTTATTACCTCATAATCACAATAGCGTTTACTGTAAAAAGAGCTGTACATACTATAATACACTCTACTATAGTGTGTTTTAAAAATACTATAGTATTTAGTATAAATTATTATAGTATTTGTTTTAATGCCAGCATCAATTAATGAAATTCTTCTTTTAAAAAAGTTAAAATCTAAGAAATAGTTTTTCCATTCATAACATACAGACCCAAATGAAAATAATACTATTGTGATTTATTGTAAATGAAACAGTATACAGTGATAAGCATATATAAGTACACCCCTCACAAATCTCTCATTTAGATTAATATTTTCTATAGGAAGCTTTACAATTTTATAACACTAAAACCAAATCAGGAGCTAATCTAACAAAATAATTAATGATAACAGTTTAACATGACAACAAAAATATTAAATAAAAGGTAAAAAAAAGAGGAAAAATCAAGAGAAGCAAAGAATATAAAAAATTTGTTGACATTTTGTGGTTTGTAATTATTTTTGCAATATTAAGCATGATTTTAAATGCATTATCTTTCTATTTCTAAAGATGTTTGATGACTTAAATATTATTTTAATAAATATATCTGCTTAATTAACCTGTTTTGTTCAAATGCACCAACATATATCAACTATATTCACTGAGAAATTGCCATAAATATACATTTTTAAATTGGGATGCACTCGTTTACGCTGAGCACTGTATATTAAAGCCTTTACAACTCTTTGTTAACTAACGCTACAGCACACTAACAATATTGAACTGATCAACTGAAATCAATCATGTAGTATGCATTTGTTAATACTATGGTAAACTGTGGTGTTCTGTAGTAACTATAATATTTCATATTGTTGTAGAAAACTACAGTATTGGGTATTTTCTTTATTTCACTACAGTTATAGTTAAAACATATAGCAACTATAAAATGACAAGTACTACTATAGTATGGTTTAAAACACTATAGTACTTGCTGTAAATGATTATAGTATTCGTCTTAATGTCAGCCTTGTCAATGAATGAAATTCTACTTTTAAAAAAAAGAAAATATTAGACATCGTTTTTCCATTGATGTAATAGGGGCCCAGATGAAAATATTACTATAGTAATTTACTGTAATTCATTCATTCATTTTCTTTTCAGCTTAGTCACTGAATGAACCGCCAACTTTGCCAGCACATTTTTTTTATGCAGCGGATGCCCTTCCAGCCACAACCCATCAAAATTTACTGTAAATAAAATAGTTTTTGTACCACACTATAGTAAAATAAAGTAAAGTGTATTAAATTTAAAGCATTCACAACTGTTTGTTATCAATGGTTAACTACAGCATACTAGCAATATTGAACTGATATTTAAAAAACATCATAGACTCTCACAATAAGAAAGCTATTAAAACTTCTAAAATATGTGCTTTATTTAATATTCTGCAATAATTTAATTTTTCTTTATGTGCCCTTAATTATTTATTTTTCTTCTTCTTTTCTCTCTCTTGTTCCCTTTAATTTCTTTTACATTTATTATATTTGTCTAAATTTGTTACAATCCACTTTTTTCAAAAAGTAATATTTCTATTGATTGTACTATACTTCTTTCAGTTTTGTATCGGTATTTGTTTTAATGTATTGTTACTATTGCAATAAAAAAAAAATAATAATAATAATAAAAAATAAAAAAAATATTGAACTGATAAACTGTAATAAATAATGTTGTATACATTTGTTTATACTATAGTAAACTGTGGTGTTTTGTAGTAGCTATATTATATTGTTGTAGAAAACTACACTATTGGGTAATCTGTTTATATTAATAAAGTTATAGTTAAAACGTAAAGCAACTATAAAATTACTACAAGTACTATACTATAGTATGGTTTAAAAACACTATAGAGATTACATATAATAATATACACATTAATACACTTTACTGTAGTATGGTTTTAAAACACTATACTATAATAGTACTTACTATTAACGATTATAGTATTTGTTACAATGCCAGCATCGCTAATGACAAAAATTATTAAAAAAAAAAAACTAAAATATTACAGACATCACTTCTCCATTGATATATTAAAGACCCAGGTGAAAATAACACTATAGGAATTTACTGTAAATGAAATCCTACTATAGTAAAGTGCATTATGCTTTACATATCAAAGCATTCACAACTGTTTGTTCATGAACGGCACACTACAGCATATTAACAATACTGAACTGATCAACTGTAATAATGTAGTATGCATTTTTTATACTATAGTAAACTGTGGAGTTTTGTAGCTATATCATATTGTAGTAGAAAACTGCAGTATTGGAAAATTTTTTATATGATTATAGTTATAGTTAACATTGTATTATTGTGGTTCATAAAAACTAAGGTGTTTACTGTAAAAAGAGTTGTACATTACTATAATACACTTTACTATAGTGTTAAGGTGTTTACTGTAAAAAGAGTTGTACATTACTATAATACACTTTACTATAGTGTGTTAAATAAAAAAAAAACTATAGTATTTAGTATAAATTATTATAGGATTTGTTTTAATGCCAGCATCATTAATGAATGAAATTCTAGTTTTGAAAATAGAAAATCTTACAGACCCCAGTCTGTAAAATAATACTAGTAATTTACTGTGTATGAAATAGTTTTTTAATCACACTATGGTAAAGTGTATTATTATACTGTATACAGTGATTAGCATATATATATATATATATATATATATATATATATATATATATATATATATAAGTACACTGCTCACAAATCTCACATTTAAATTAATATTTTCTATAGGAAGCTTTACAACATTATATTTCTGCATATACATTAGAATAGTCAGTACTGAAGCCAAATCTGGAGCTTCTAACAAAACAATTAATGATAAAAGTCCAAAAATGAATAGCCCAAATGTGTATGTTAGTGAAAAGGATTAAATAAAAAGGTAAAATAGAGGGGATATCAAGAGAAGCAAAGAATATATACGATGATTTTAAATGAATTATCTTTCTATTTCTAAAGACGTTCGATGACTAAAATATTATTTTAATAAATATATCTGTTTATTAAATCTGTTTAGTTCAAATTCACCAATGTATATTAACTATATTCACTGGTAAATTGATATAAATATAAATCGGGACGTAAACACTGTATATTAAAGCTTTCACAACTGTTTGTTAATGAACACTACAGCATACTAAAAATACTGAACTGATAAGCTGTAATCAATAATGTAGTATGCATTTGTTTATACTATAGTAAACGTTGGTATTTTGTAGTAGCAATAACATCATATTGTTTTAGAAAACTGCAGTATTGGGTAATTTGTTTATATTAATATAGTTATAGTAGCATATTACTATAGCAATCATAGAATCACTACACGTACTATATTGTAGAACACAACTAAACACAAGTACTAAACACTAGTGTAAATTACTATAGTATTGTTTTCACGTTGTACAAAAAGTCATGAAGATAAAGATGTCCTACCCAGCTTGAACATCAATGACAGCAGAACTGCTCTTTTATACTGTAAACACATCCGTCCAAAATCCATGTCCTGCGGTGATTCTCGAGCTCAGCCTGTAAATCATCGGACGCTCGCCGAACTCTGCCCGCTTCAGAGTCACCGCATCCCCGCGTGTAGAGTTGAGTCGCTTCGGGACTGTCTGGCGGTCTGGCGGAAAACACGGAGAGGAGTCGGAAGTTTGCGGGAGGATTTCTTTGATTATCCTGCTCGGTCAAAGCTCGGTTTGCTGTCTGTCACTCTCTCTCTTCCAATCCTCACCCTGTGTTAATCTGCCTCGCTCCCTCTCTCTCTCTTCATTCAAACGGTACATGTTTGTATGTAACTTTAAGCACACCTGCCAACACTCCCGTTTTAACAGGTTGTTATCCGTATTTTAGACCCATCTCCCGCGACCCTCCCGTTTAGTTTATTATCTCCCGGATTTTCAGAGACAAATTTTGGCAGGTATGACTTTTATAGATTTTTTTGTACAGGTATATTGTGTTTTCTTTTTCAATATATTAAAGTATTGTAAAAATTAAAATGATCCCTCTCTTTCACTTAATCTTATTCAATTCAAACTTGCTTTACGGGCATGACAAATCTATTAGCAAAACATTTGCAATGTTCACATGCAATAAAACATAGAAAAACAAATTACACAGTAATAGTGTTAAAAATAATAATTACAATAATGCATGACATATAGGTACATATGGCAGAAGTGTACATATAGCAGGGAATATATAAAGTCAATATAAAAAAATAGTACTAGTGACGGGTCGTTCATGAACGATTCGTTCATTTTGAATGAACCTTCAATATGACTCGGGAACTACGAGTCCTCTTAGGCAGTGATTTGTTTATCCGCGCGTGCGAACATTTGTGCAGGTGGTATCGTTCATTTCAAGTCTTCTGAGTCGTTCATCGCGAAAAGGCAGAAGCCAATCAAATGCGTTTAGAGCCGGAAAAAAAATTTAACCGTTCATCTTTCGAGTCCTATATCGGGTTTGAGTCATTTGTTCCTCACGGGCCAATCATATGCGTTTGGAGCCAGAAAAAGAATTGATTTGTTCAACTCTCGAGTCCTCTATCGGGTCTAAGGCTGCGTCCGAAACCGCCTACTACTCAGTAGGTACTGCATTTAAATTTAAACGCACTACTCGGCCGTTAGAAAAGTATGTTCTATACAGTATGAACGTGAAAAGTATGAATGGAATTCGGACGTACTACATCCGCCATTTTGTCATGGTCACGTGACCTACCTGCGTCAATTGCGTCGCTTTACTCCCATTCATGAATTTGCTCACGGGGCATCATGGGATAGCGCAGCATGCATGGGATGCGCACTCTAGAATTTCGCCGGAAGTAGTAAGTCATCCGGGTACTTCTCGCATACTGACTTTCGAATTCTATGAATTCGGACATACTACTCCGCTCGCATACTGATTTTAGCGTACTATATAGTATGGAAGTATGCAGTTTCGGACGCAGTCATTCGTTCATCATGGGCCAATCATACGCGTTTAGAGCCGGAAAAAGAATCGATCCATTCAACTCACGAGTCCTTGGGTTTGAGTCATTCTGTCACGTGATGAATGAACGACTCAAGAACCAGACGACTCGAAAGGTTAACTAATTATCATGACTCCTATCGGCTCAGACTGTGTACATTGGTTAAGATTATATGTGACTGTCAGTGTAACCTGAACGAACCACTGACGTTTGAAGACATGAAGAGGTGAGCTGAGCAAAGAGACAACAATACCTTCATAGACAAAAGAGCAGGTAAACACTGAATTATTATTTTCTCCTTCTTATATTCTATTTATGACTTATTTGTCGTGTGATCAACCTTTTGGGCTAGTCGTAGATGTGTTTGGAAGCAATTCGTAACATTTTAATAATATTTTGGCAAATTGAACCAAATGAACGAAATGACTCGAAAAAAGATTCGTTCATCTCGATGAGCGAGACTCAAAGATCCGAGGCAGAAAAATGATCTGAACGTTCCATCACTAAATAGTAACAATATTGATGTAAATAATAACAATAATAACATATAATAAAATATTTTGGGGGGCAGCAGAGTGGCGCAGTGGGTAGCACACTTGCACACCTTGCAGCAAGAAGGTCTCTGGTTCGAGCCTCGGCTGGGTCAGTTGGCGTTTCTGTGTGGAGTTTGCATGTTCTCTCAGCGTTCACGTGGGTTTCCTCAGGGTACTCCGGTTTCTCCCACAAGTCCAAAGACATGCAGTATAGGTGAATTGGGTAGGCTAAAATTGTTCTTAGTGTACGAGCGTGTATGGATGTTTCCCAGTGTTGTGTTGCAGCTGGAAGGGCATCCGCTGCTTAAAACATATGTTGGATAAGTTGGAGGTTCATTCCACTGTGGCAACCCGAGATTAATAAAGGGACTAAACCAAAAATAAAAAATAAATGAATGAATGATAATTGTTGATTGTTGAATATTGTATGAATAATTGAATAATAATCAGATGATGTCATTACACTGATCATGATTTCGAGGAATGATAGATCTGTCCTTTACAACACACGCAGCGATCTCAGATCAGTTTATCCCGACATTTTAATCTGATTCATGAACTTGTTTAAAGAACCAAATTAGCGAGAGATCAGTTATCAAGATTAAAAGATCCAGGATCTGCCAAATCATCTTAGATCATTTAAGCGAGGTACGAAGAACGGACCCCAGAAAACATGTAAGACAAAAACAAAAGACAAAAAATTAAATAAACAAGTCAATAACAGGGTGAGAATGTGGTAAAATCTGAAAACCTGGTAAAAAATCAGGCGAGGGCTTTTCTTGGTCTGAATTGCTTTTGGAAACACTGTCGGTTGGGTTTGGGGAAGTGGGTGATCGGGTCAATCGGTGCTTTATCAAACACTATTGGTTGGGCTTAGGGAAGGAATGGGTGAGTCAGTTGATCAGTCAGTCGGTCGGTCGGTCAGTTCACAAAAGCCTCTGGTGGATTTACAAGGATGGATGAACGGACAGACAGACAGACAGACAGACAGACAAGTAGATAGATAGATACAGTGAATGGATGGATGGAGGGAGTAGATAAATAGATAGATACAGTAGATGGAGGGATGGATGGATGGATGGATGGATGGACACAGACAGACAGACAGACAGACAGACAGACAGACAGACAGACAGACAGACAGACAGACAGACAGACAGACAGATAGATAGATAGATAGATAGATAGATAGATAGATAGATAGATAGATAGATAGATAGATAGATAGATAGATTTTGAAAACAGTCGGTTGGGTTTAGGGAAGTGGGTGATCGGGTCAATCGGTGCTTTATCGAACACTATTGGTTGGGCTTAAGGAAGGGATGGGTGAGTCAGTTGATCGATCAGTAGCCACTAATGTAGCCCCTGGAATGTATTTGGCACTCTAGAAATTTACATAGTTGTCATACTGTACCTGCCAACACTCCCATTTTACCCGATAGTCTCCTGTATTTCAAACCCATCTCCGGTATTGTTCAGTCTCCCAGAATCCCCCCCCCCCCTCCACTCAGCTGTTTGGTACAGTCCAGCCAGCTTTTTGGTACAGTCCCTATGTGCACCAAACCCAAAGCGCAACCATCTCCATACCCGCTCCACACACTCTTCAGTTCGAGCATTACAATTTTGTAGGTTTTGAGGAGCTTGTGGATATGATTATATAATTTAGAATGTAAATTGTGGAAATAAAAGTACTGCTAAATCTCTCTCTCTCTCTCTGTTTCTCCAGGAGCAGATGGTCATTTCCTCTGACCACCTTTACGTGACCATCAACACAAATAAGTGTTAATTAAGCTAATGCCCACTATTAAACCTGACAGCACTTGAATACTTAGTAAAGAGCAGTACATGGGTTACTTGGAGAGTAAAGCATCATTAATAAACAGGACTTATTGACTGTATTTATTGCCTATACAGATACGAATCATACATTTACACTCATTAACCTTGTCATTAGGATTTACCCATTAGTCATTTTTTATGATTTATTTAAAAATAGAATAATTTAATATTACTATGATCTAAAAACAGTACATGCACTAATACAAATGAACACAAAAACAAATATCGCTTAAAGGGGCTAATCAGTTTGACCTTAAAATGGTTTTTAAAAAATGAAAAACTGCTTTTATTCAAGCAGACATAAAACAAATATGACTTTCACCATAAGATAAAATAGTATAGGGGCTACTGTAAAAATGTCCTTACTCTGTTAAACATCATTTGGGAAATATGAAAAGTAGATAGATACAGTAGATGGATGGATGGATGGATGGATGGATGGATGGATGGATGGATGGGTGGGTGGGTGGGTGGGTGGGTAGGTAGGTAGGTAGGTAGGTAGGTAGGTAGGTAGATAGATAGATAGATAGATAGATAGATAGATAGATAGAGAGTAGGATGGATGGATGGAAGGACGGACAGGCGGACTGATAAACTATTAACAATGTCAATAAAAGTCACTTTTTAGGTTAGAAGTTGTTGAAAGATGCATTAATTTGGTCCTATAATGCAATTCAAAAGAGTAAACAAACGGGGGAAAATAACAAATAAAAAATGAACCACAAAATCCATAAAACTGCTAATTTAGGGAAATTTCTGACAGTGTAGTGAATAAAGCTGCTGTCTGATCTCAGCCGTCTAGCTTTAACCACTGATGATGAGAGCAGAGCAGTCGCCGGTTAATTAAACTCTTGGATTTATAAACAGGTAAACTCTATTCAACAGACTCCACACGACCGACTCCATCCTGCATTCCAGACCAACGTTTTACACAAATGAGGAAGATTAAGAGCTTTACAACACATTCCTGAATATCAATTAGGTTTGAAAGAGGAACAAAAGAGTTCAGTAATTAAGTTGATTAAAAAAATGAATAGCATTTGATATGACCGTGTGTGTGTGTGTGTGTGTGTGTGTGTGTGTGTGTGTGTTCATGGTTTGGGTAGACAATCTTAAAGGGCACCTACGGTGAAAAATCTACTTTTCAAGCTGTTTGGACAGGCATGTGAGTAAGTATAGTATAGGTCGTCGTATTGGGGTGAAATAAACACACCCAGTCCTTTTTTTTTTTTCAAATTGAACAACAAACGGTGGACCAATTGGATCGGTTTTCAGATCGACCGCAACTTTATATAGGAAAGCGGTCCCCCCCCACTATTATTGATTGACAGCTGTGCGCATTAACATGTCTCCGTTGTAATGCATATACTCATATCGACAAGACAGGACGAGCGCAAAGCAACCGGGAATAAAAGGTCTG